CACCCCCGGGCCATCTGGCACCCCTGCCCTTGCAGGAAAAGAGTGGGATGCAGGCAGCAGACGAAAGGCTCAGAGCCCTTGTGTTGCTTCCCTCTCTTTTCTGTGCCATCCACCTTGGGTAACTGCTTAGGCCCAAGACTTGCCATTGGGAGGCGGGGGGGGAGGCGCAGTGGGTTAAGGACCTTAGTTTAGTCTCAGCAAAGGCCAAACCATCGACTAGGTGATGGAAGACGATACTCACTCTCTGTATCATCTTAGAGGAGCTGATAAGTGAGTCTGATTATAGCAAGGGAGGTGGGAGGCAGATGGGCTGTCTGGATCTGGCAGGCTAGGGAAGGGGGCAGTCCTACCATTCCCCACCTGGGCAGAAGGTAGGTCTCCCAGCTACAGGCTGCAGCCTCACTTCAATCAATGCTGTGGGAGGACTCTGGCTTGGAAGCACAGGCATGTAGTCTGCCCTTTCACTGCACAACACTTATTCCTGTGAAACCGTCCCTGGGCTGAGGGTGGGTTCAATCTGGAGGAGTTCCAAGTCAAGATGTGCTGCTGGGGCTGCTCTGAGTAGGGGTGGAGACTGGCTATGTCAGAACCAGGCCACTGCTCATATTCTCCAATCGTTCACTCCATCCCCACTGTCCACCCTAACCATGGCCTTCCCACCCCTGACCTAGCCGGCACATGGACACACCTTGTCTCCAAGTAACAAAAGAGAGGCCTCCCTCTCAGTGGAGAAAGAGATGGCAGGCCCGAATGTTGATCACTGAAGGTTGGAGAAAGGGACTAACAGGCCTGAGCAGGCATGGGGTATCAGCAAAGCCAAAGAGGCCAATCTCTAAACCCCGCTTCTCCTTCAGAGAAATCTGAGGTTCAGGAAGTTTAATAGGGCTAACTTTCCCAAGAAGTCATATACCGGGGAGAGGAGAACAATCTTCCTGCCTTCAACCCATTTTATGTTTGTTGTTATATGCCGTGGAGTTGGTTCCAACTTATAGTGACCCTGTACAGGGTTTCCGAGGCTGTAAATCTTTACGGGAACAGAAAGCCTCATCGTTCTCCCGTGGAACAGCTGGTAGTTTCGAACTGCCGACTGTGAGATTAGCAGCCTGATTTGTAACCACTACGCCACCCATTACTAAACAATAAATGCTCTTACTTGATAACAGTCACACCTCTGAATTCCTGTTATTAGTGCATCTCACAGGGAGGCTCATTTTGGGTGGCAGGAAATGTTTGGGAAATGATGAAAGCCCCAGCCTTTTACTGTGATTTCAAACAGGTCATCAGGAACAAGCTATCAGAAATAAGCAACTACAGGAAGAAACAGCCTCTATCACGAAGAGTTTTTGGGACAGAATCATTTCTTTCCATGCCATCCTTAGCCTAAGCAAAAATGGACTATGGATGTGGAAGCTGAGACTGGGAGTACTTAGTAGGGAAAATGGGAGACTAGCCACTTTTGGTTCGTCTCCCTAGAGCAGGGGTGGGAAACCTTTTTTCTACCAAAATTTGTAACATCATTTGCTAGCCATATAGAATTATCAAATTAATTGAAAATCAGCCTGCTATATTTGGTCAAATATTTAATTAACTCACTCCTGATGTGATGGCTGAAGTCCTGGTGACGTGTAATATGGTTTGAACTACAAGGTCAGTGGTTCAAACTCATCAGCCGCTTCTTGGAAACCCTATACAAGGTCGCTATGAATCGGACACCCAACTGGAGGGCACTTAACAACAAGAATGTGATGGCTGGAACTGAGGTTGCCTTGGCAGGGTCAGACCAAATGATTTGGCCAGACGTTCCCTACCCCTGCCATAGAATAACCCTGAACAAAGCCAATACTTTCCAAAACTCACTGTCCTTTCCTTCTGCAAACAAGGAGTATTCCTTCCCCAATCCTCATGCAGTCTTTGTGATCCAGGCTATCAGGAACTCACAAAGTACCTGCCAACCTGGGCAGGTGCCATGTCTATGTGAGTGCTATACCTATCTCACAGCCCTGCAGCCAGCAGGAGAAGCTCTTTTGGCTGGTGGGCCAAAAAAATCAGTGATTCCAGATCTCTGGCATTACTTCTTCTCAAGTGAGGCTAACTATTCTACCCATATGTGATTCTTAGCTCCAGACCTGTTTTCTGGTTAGCAGGACCTAGCTAAATTAATAAGACACTGACAGATATCATGACAGAAAATATCACGAGACAAAAAAATAACGAGTCCTGGCGACCACTGGCCTACTAGTGCCAAGTTCTTGCCCTCCTTTATGCTCATTTGTTCTCAGGCAGCCATTCCGAACAACAGTTCCATCACAATCTTAAATGGGTTTGTAACTTTAGTTACAAGTCAATGTGGCACACACACAAAAAGTCCCATTTTCTAGGGTCCTAGTTCCAAAGATCTAAGAACAGCTTCATTAGCCATCTCAGAGAGGCCCTGGAGCCTTCCTTGTTACTTGTGTGGCCCTGCTCACTCTCCCTCTATTCAGTGGGAGGCTGAGAAGCAATGTATCCTGTTGACATTGGTGATCTTGAAGGCAGGATACAGGAGCCCAGGGCTCAGCATTATACCACATTAGCAGTTACAGGTAGTGGGACAGAGCCCCTGGGATGCTCCCCAGTGACTACATATGTTCTGAAAGTGGCAGCATCTCTACCCTTTTCCATTTTAGTTGGGCCACTCCTGGGAAGTAAGAAACCTAAAAAGGAAGTGAGTGCTGGAGCCACTACTGCCTTCAGGGACAGCCTCTTGCAGAGCTTCAGGCCAAACAGAAGCTTCCTCCAGAAACACCAAAACAATCTTAGAAACAGCCTTCTTGGCTGACATGACATCAAATAGGAGTATGTTGAGTGAGAGGCGGCCAGGGCAGATGTGGCTTAACCAGAATGGATGTATCAGTAAGTGTATAAGCAAAACCTATGTTTTCTCATCTCATACGAATATGAGCAGGAAGGTGAATCTGCTCTTGGCATAATCACAAAGGACAACTGCTTCACCTCAAGAATTAATCTTTATAGCCCCTTAGGAAAATGTGCCAAGGACTTTTTTCTTTTCTTTGATGAGAAAACCACTGAAAGAAAATGTTTCACTGGGAAACCCCAGCAGAAAAGGGCATCTACCAGGTGAGAACTTGGAAAATGGGCTCTGTCAATGTTTTGCAAACTGGGTGTCATAGAATACCAGCTCCTAAAGCTGTCTGTGAAAGGCTGTTGGCTACTGCCATGTCTTGGAGTTCTGGATGTTGAAGGCCCTGAGAAGCCTCACATCAAAGTACCATGTCATTTGTCTAGTCTAGAATTTTCCTAAAGTACTTGGCTGAGAGGTCTGCTCTTCCCTAAACACTGAATCTGCAGTAAGTTTGAGGCCTCTGTTTCCTCTTGACCTTAATTCTTAGCTTCCTCCCAACACAATGAGGCAGATGGTCTGAGTGTCTCCAAGGTCCTCCCACTCTGTTGTTCTTCCAAGCACAGCCAAACTGGCTCCCTTCCCAACTCACTAAAGGGCTTGGGCTTGGGTAAGCCTGAAAGTGGAATTTGTAGTGTGACAAGGGCTACGATGTCCACCAGGAGACTGATGCTGCCATGTATGGCTCTCCTTTGACCTGTGCCCACCCCACTCAGTGCTGTGTAGGTCATGCAGCTCAGGGAGTATCTCAGAGAATCGGGAACCCAGAGGGGTAAGACTAACATAAGCAGGGTCACCCCACAGCAATATGGGCTGCCTGACAACCCTTCCTGCTCCAGTTAGGCCCAGCGCTTCGGTTCTCATTGGCAGAAACACAGGTGAGCTTCCCTTGCTTTAATCACACTTTTCTTCTCAATATGAACAATAAACACTTACCTAACTGATCAATGTAGAGATGGGCCTGTTTCTAATCACAGATGTACTAATCACGAGCCTGTACGCCTCCTCAGAAAGCCCCCACACTCCAGGAGCAACTCCAAATGCACTGAGTCATCTCCCCACACCAGAAGCTCCTTCCTTGGAATCTCACACTTACCTCCTTGCAAAGCACACATCCCACACCCACAGCACACCTCATGTCACAAATAGACCCCGACCTGTGAATAATTATTCTCACTCATCCCCCACCCTTGTGATCCAAGGTGGCTACATTGGTACCTACAGTCAATCCCTCTCCATCCTAATGGCAGAGCCCCAGAGGGTGACTCAGTGGCTTCTATGGGTCACCCTTGAGGAAAGGGAGGAAGCCAGAAACCCTGCTCAGTTAATTTCAAAGGCATCTAATGCATTCAGGCTTGGAGACTCCAACCTCCAGGTCACTAAAGACAGCTTCTAGAGGTTTGACTAGATGTCCACAGCAACTCAAAGTACCCTGAACAAAGGCAGCTATAGGGCTATGGACCCAGGTTCCTCTGGGGAAGGTAAGACACCAATCTCATAGAAATGGCCCTGCAGTGGTCTCTTGGTGAATGCCACACTGGGTGAGTGCATGACCCCTGGCCTGGGTCTTTATTCTACCCCAAAATCTCTGGGGATGAGTGGCTTCTCTGCCACCTCAGGCCTTAGCAAACTGAAGATGAAGACCTCATGAGAAGCTTCCCAGAACCCAGCTGGAAAGAATTCTCCTGCCACCCCTAAAACTATGGTTCCCTCACCAGCATTCCCTCCCAGGGCCCAAAGTCAGCAACAGAAGCAGACGTGGCACCAAAGAAATATGCCTCCATTTGAACCCTTATGGCATTCATGGGGAAAAGTTGTCTGATAAGACTGTCTTTGGCCCTATCCAAGTCCATTTTCCCAAGTCAAAAAGCATCTTCCACTCATTACCTGAGGCTCTGCCCAAGCTTACATGGGGTGTAATAATCCCCCAGGAAGTCTGAGGCCCGCATCTAGGAGCCAGGACATACTCCCAGGAAGACACGGGAACTGGTGGCAAGGAAAATGATCAGGAAAGGAGAGTTGGTGGAAAAGGCAGAGTGAACCAGGAGAGACATAGAGATGGAGCAGTGGGAGGTGGGGAGGCAGCGCAGAGGGTAGTTACCTGTGTAAGGTGAGGATTAGGGTTGAACCCGCACTGGTTGCAGACCTTGTTGTGACACTGGGTGCAGGTGTTGAAGTTTGGCTGGCTGGGGGTCGACGTGAGGTCTGAGGTCTTGCATATTGGACATAGGGTGCTGCTAGGAAGGGGGGCGATCTGGGGGACGGAGTACGGTGATGTGGGGGTGCTGCCTCTGTCCGGTGACACCGAAGGGGATCGCCCTGATCTCTGCGTCCTGCTGTCTACCTGCAGCATCCTTCGAGGACCATCAGTCTCCTGGCCTGCTGGGCCCTGTACCCTTGCCTCCCGGGGGCTCTCGCGGCCAGGAACAGTAGCAGAAGCCTGCTTCGGGGTTGGAGAAGCTGCTCTCTGGCTACCCAGGGGCTCCTTAGGGTCCAGTCTCCTGGATACGCTGAAATGACATTGAAAATGACTGTGCGTTAGAGACACATCTTAAAGAAGCAGCTTGCAGAGCCCTCTACCAAGTTGGGTGACCCTGCCAAGTCCTATCACCTCCCCACTCCTGCCCAGTGGCACCACTATAGCCTCCATTTGCTGAGTGCTGACTATGCCCCATGCTGAGCCCTGACAAATGTCTCCCACTTGAACCCTCCACATTAGGATGTGTGGCAGGATTACAAGTGTCTCCTCTTGCACCCTGACAAACTGCAGGTTCTGATGCAGCAGCTCTGGAGTCGGGTCCAAGATTTTGTATTTTTAAGAAACCTCCAGGTGAAGCACAATTTGATTACCAAGACTGAAACCTACACATTAGAAAAACCTAGGGTGATTTTTAAAACTCTGACACCCAGATCATACTCCAAACAAATTACAGCAGAATCTGTGAGGGTGGGACTGTGGCATTATTATTTTTTCCTACCTTGGTGAGTCCAACATGCAGCCAAAGTCAGAACCATTGCCCAGGTAGATCTGTTACAGCCTGGTGTGTCCCTTTCATAGGATGACACTAAAGAGCTGGGATAGGGTACATCTAAATGACTAGCTAATGCTGTCCCCAGCAGGGGCCTGCCAGAGCACAACAAAACTGTCCTCTGGCATCCCTTCAGCAGGCTTGATGCCAGACAAAGTCCATCAAGATGTGATGAACTGTTACTTTTCTGCTTGTACAAGATTAGTCAGATGTCTGAGACCTAGCCCTTGAAAACTACCAAGGAAAATTCAATGTGTTTCCCTCCTCCTCCACCCAGAGGAACCAGCAGAATTGGGTAGTCTGATGAAGCAGAAGGCAAACCGACAAACTGAAATTTGGTTCCCTTATATTCCTTCTCCTTTGACCCAACTTAGTTCACTTCTGTCAATTTTCCTTTTTTCCAATTTGAAAGAGGCTGAGCACAAAATGCCAGAGGTACTGCTTTATATTGTTTCCTTGAAAGTTTTGCTTACTGCCCTTATTTCAGTCTGTATTCATTTGGGTGCATGCTGAATCACAGGAGACAGAGCAGCCTGAGAGCCACTCAGAGGCATGTACAGCTGCCTGGGGCAGGGCACACCCTGGTCCCTTCTGCCCAGTGTCCTAGTCCTTTGCAGGGTCTGACAGAAGGGGTTGTTAAGTTTGCTGACCCCAGATAAAGGCTGTCTTCTTGCCAGAAAGATTCAAGAGCTAACAAGTCAGGTATTTTAGGGTAAGCCATTTCAGAAGGGAGGCCAGAAGCTCATCTAGGGAGGCCAAACCTATCTCTGAGGGGGTGTCAGACCCATGATAAAGCCAGCAGGGAGCCCCACTTCAAGACACTCCATGCCATTCTTTCTCCTTTCTGAGGAAATGCTGGTAGAGAGACACAGCCTTGTTCTAATAACATTTCTGGAAAAAGTACACACTGTATTAAATCTCCATCAGACATTTCTGTCATCAAACAACATAAACCATCCAATCACAGCCCAGACATTTGCTTCTTCAGTAAACAACCAGAATCTAAGACTAACCCCTCTAGGCCATCTTCATCACTAGCCATTAGGACCAGCACTGCGGTGACCATCTCCATCCAGCCTTTATAACATGATTGCAGCAGCACCACCCCCAGGCTGTGTAAGGTCTATAGTTTCTTCTAGGAAATGTAGCAATTTTCACTGTATTTGTATTACCTGGTAAATAACAGGCAACCTTTTGTGTACACAATGACTTTTCAATTCAACATTGCATCAAAGTATAGTTTTTTTGGGAAATATTTTATGTGACAATTAGGGATCCAAGATTGTTAATTTTCAACTTGGTGGGGACTGTGGGTGAACAAATAACACACACCTGACAGTCTGCACTGTTAGGGCAATGTTTCTGGCTCAAAGGCCTGATATATCCACTATGTGTACACACCACACAGTGGCCACAGTGACACCCTGTGGAGACCCCACTACCTGTCCATGGGCCCTCACCCTCCCATCCTCCTGGATGGTTCCTCATACCTTGTCCTTGGTCCTCAAGTATTATGAGGTTGACTTGTGTCTCCAAAAAGATATGGTACCTGTGAATGTGGACCTTACTGAGAAATAAGAGTCTTTGCAGATATAATTAATTAACACGAGGTCATGCTGGAGTAAGGTGGACCCTAATCCAATATAACTGGTGTCCTTAGAAAAGACAGACATAAAGAGAAGATGGCATCTAAAGATGGATGCAGAATTAGAATGACATATTTATAAGTCAAGGAACTCGTGAGACCACAAAAGCTAGAAGAGGTAAGGATGGATTCCTCCCCTAGAGCTTCAGAGAGAGCATGGTCCTGCTGGCACCTTGATGTAGGACTCCTGGCTTCTAGAACTGTGAGAGAATAAATGTCTGATTTTTTAAGCCACCAGTTTGTGTTATTTTTAACTGCAGCCCTAAGAAACTAACACACAAAGCATCTAACATCTCCCATCTCTTCACTGTCACCCATAACTGAAATAGAGAACTTGCACTTTCACTGCCTCCCAGCTTCTGTCTCCTGATGCGTGTCTGTCTGCCTTCTGTTCTTAAGACCCACTTCTCACCTTTACAAATTCTCCTCTCTCCTAGTATCCATTTCCTTCTCTATTGGATCATTTTAATGATCATACAAACACGCTTCCCCAAACTACAAAAAACAAGTTTGACCCTCTTCAGTTACTGTCCCATTTCACTGCTCTTCTTTACAAAAAAAATTCCTTGAAAGGATTTTCTCTGCCTTCTGTTCCTCTCCCTCTCTCAATCCACTCCAACAGGATGGAGGAGATAGGTCACAGTCACCATATTGCCAAATCCAACAGTCACTTCTTCACCTCACATGACCATAGTAGCATTCAATATCGCTCAGTACTCTCTCTTTCCTGAAACAAACAAGTTCTCCACTTGGCTTTTTGAAACCAAGCTCCTTCTTTCATCTGTCCACATCTTTCTAATCTCTTTTACAGATTCTTCCTCATCTTCCAATCCCAGATTCCCACCTCTTATATTAAAGGACCCATGTCTCAGAGTTTGTGCCAACTGGCTTTCCTTAGTATACTCAGTCCCTAAGTCTCAAGGCTTCTTAGCCTCAAAACTTTAAATCCTATCTCCCACTGACAACTACCAAAATGTATTTCTAGCGTAGACCCCTCCTTGAACTCCAGACTTATTTAACTGCCAACTTCACATCTTCACTGAGGTGTCTTGTAGGCATCTCAAACTTGACATGTCCAAGGTGAGTCCTTAATCTTCTTCCAAACATGCTCCTGCCACTGTCCTCCCTTACAGTCATCCTTGACTCCTTTCTTCCTCTCTCATTCCATGTTAATCCACCAGCAAACCCTGTAAGCTTCAGAGTCTGACCACTTCTCACTGCTTCCTTACCCAATTTAGTCAAAACAACTGTCACTCTTTCTTCCACTCTTGTCTCTCTATAGTCTTCTCTCTACACAATAGCTAGATGATCCTTTAAAATGCATAAGTCTGATCACATTGCTCTGCTGCTTAAACCTTCCAATGGCCTGTTCTTCTTCCAAAGGAAAAGACAAAGGTTTTACAAAGGCTGGCGAAGTTCCATGAGAATTGGCTTTTTTCCCTCTGGCTTCATTTCCCACTATTTTCTGCCTCACTTATGCCAGGTCTATTTATGCCTCTGGGCATTTGCACTTGCTGCACCTTTCTGCTGGTACATGCTCCCTCACGCCTTTGTGGCATTTTTTCAGGGATACATTCCGTGACCATCCTACTTAAAACTGCAGCTTTTGTCTTCCTGCCTTTGTTCTCCATGGCACTGAGCATCTTCTCGCTCAGTGCGTACCGTATTTATTGATTTTTCGTGCTGTCTGTAATCCCTGCATTAGCTTGCCATCTTTCTGAGGGCACTGCCTCTATGTGCTTTATTAACAATTGTGTCCTAGTGCCTAGCATAATGCCTAGCTCACACTGGAAACTCATTATGTGTTTCCTGAATGGATGAACTATAGACATATCATGACTCAGATAATAAAATATGGCCCCAAAGTGTTTGAGAGTTGAATAAATACGAATATGAATAAATAAATATGCCTGAAAAGATACTAGGCCCTTCCTTGGATCTGATCTTACGTTGGAAAGAACTACAGATGATAACACCTGGGTTCTCCCTGGCCACTAGTCCCATCCCAGCCCTACCTCATAGAATGCTCTGCTAACTACAGCACCAGTGACATGGACTGGGCCCTCACCATGGGCTCAATCACATGCTAAGTACCTGTCACATATTATACATATTACAGTGGACCTTTGAACAACATGGGTTTGGACTGCACAAGTCCACTTATATGTGAAAATTTTTAATGTTATGTGGCACTCATCTCCACATGAGCAAGTCATATCTTCAGTAAAGTGTGTATTTCAGTAAAAAGTGATCTCTTGTAGTTTTTGCATATTTTTCATGGTGTTACTGCAATACCATTAAGTCTTGGATAGCACCATTGGAGCCATACAAAGTGCCACTGGTAATACGAAAGTGTTCCAAAAAGCAGAGAACAGTTAATACATTACAAGAAGTTGAATTGTTTAATACGTTCTGTAGATTAGAGTCTGCAGCTGTGGTTGCCCACTGTTTCAAGATTAAGGAATCCAGTGTAAGAATCATTATAAAAAAAAAAAAAAAAAAGAAAAGGGAATTCGTGAAGCCATCACTGTAGCTATAACAGGTACAAAAACCTTGCACTTTCTGTGAAATACCTTTTCATCTCATAGTGAAAATATAGCTTTTATGTGGATCCAATATATAATACATTTAATATACAAAACACAAGGGGACTTCAAAAAGTTCGTGGAAAATGTAATAAAAAGATAATCCCCTTCGGGGCTATAGAGGCACAAAGTGGCTAGCTTAAAAGCTTTCATGAGAGCTCTTAGCATCAGAATGAGGGTAGTAAGATAGAAATACTGATGAATGATATTCCTCTGTCCAGATGGGTCTGATGATTAGGGGAGTCAGATTT